ATCGGAACAGCAAAGTCCACTCAAAAATTGAGCCGACAGGAAACATCGATGTAGTACAGTATTGTTTCTGTCTGCAATAGCCCTACTGTATTTTTTTTTTTTAAATCTCTTAATAGCCCTACTGTGTGTTAGACCTACCTGAAAAACTAAAAAGCTATTTATTTCATTTGTAGACCTATCTTGATTTTTTTTTATTTGTGCTATCATTAGTCATTTCTTTATTTGTTCTTATTTTATTATTAACTGCTTAGCCTCCTTGTCATTTTTTATTCAATTCAAAGTTTGTATCTCGTGCATCTCGTGCTACTGCAACAAAATTACCCCACTGTAAAATAAAAAAAAAAACACTGAGTGATGTGAGATAGTGTCATATAAATTGGTCTCTTAGAAATTAGCCTACTGATTGCCACCATTGATGGACAAATTTTTTTTTATAATATTAAAAATATCTGTATGACATTATATTCTGCAGTTCTTCCCTGTTGTACCGAATATCTATACTTTTCAAATTATCATATCGAAGTTAGAAATTCAAATATTGTGACAAAATAAATTTTGTAGGGTGCCACAAGTTTGTTAAAATTTCCAAAGGGTGCCACGACTAAAAAAGGTTGGGAATCATTGGTATAAAGTAATCAAATGTATAAAAACATTGCATATTCTTCACTGTGATGTTTCTTATTAAAGTTACAAAAGTGATTTAGTCAAGAGCAGTGAGCGATTAACTCTCTTTTGTTGTTTGATTAACATGAATGACAGAGAGCAGGAATATTAGACTGCTGTCACTTTAAGAGCTGCCCGGATCCAATATACTGTTAAATATGTGTTTTCTTTCTCAGCTGTTTGCTTTCAATTAAGACCTCAATTTTGTGTTTGCGAGAATACTTGCAAAGACGGGCATTTTGAAACATACATGTGTGTATTTAACCGTTCAAGGCCCATAAACTGCTGATTGCATTTCAACGGCTTAAAAACGCTTGTCTTTTAAGCCGCAATGCTTAAAAACTACTGCAAACAATACGTTTTTGTGACCACGTAGCACAGCAACGTCATGTGAGCATGTAACCGTGATAGAGATGATAGTCCAAAATCTCTACCGGTTGACACATTTTTACCGGTATATCGCTCACCCCTGCTTTCTGTACAATAAATAATTTAGTTACTGTGTTGGGTCACCATTTGAGTCCAAAATAAAATCTGGGTCCTGAAGCAAAACCAATTTTTAGAATCTGTTTATTGTCTTTGTATTATTTTGTACTACCAACTCTTCATTTCATCACATTCAATTCAGACTGCAAAGTCACATCTCAGAGAAAATATAATTTATTTTGCCACGGCGCAGCAGATTAAGCAGCGCCACTGTTGAATAGCCGAGCAGAAAACACCGGTACCAGGTGAAACAAGTTTGTTTTGCCCGTTTCTCTCAGAGGAGTTTTCCATAGATTAACAAGGCCGTCTAAAATTCATTGTGCTGAGTCCAGTGTTAACTCAAGAGCTCCTCTAATCAACTGAAGTACAAACTGCTGATAAATCTTTTATGGCAGTTTAGAGTTGCAGCCCTTGTTATAGCCCCAGTATAGTGTAACCCTTATATAGGCGCAATCGGGGTGCTTTCCCAAGCATGTATCGCTAGAAGAGACGTGTGATAGTCATGGTTATAATGCTTCATAAAAGCCATCCGTTTGGGAAGATCGGATCTGAAAGCGAATCGGAGAAGGAGAATTGCGAGCACAGGCATACCTCCAGACATTTTTTGTTTTTTTGGCGCCACTCGCCAGGTTTGTTCATGCATATATGCTAATGCAGCGGCTAACACGGCTTCTCACGCTCCTATTCTCTCCAAATGATGCAACCTGCCAGCCATCCTCTCAATTCTGCTGATACTTACGTTCCCCTCTTTCCATAGCAGAAAGGACATGAAAAACAGAGAGAAAGAGAGAGGATGGGATGGCAGACAGAGAGAGTGAGCGAGACACAGGGAGGAGTCTCCAAATCCACAAAGGTTTTGTAATGAATGCGCTGCGCAACAATAAAAACAAAAACATTAAAGAGAGAAAAGACATGTTTCTGTGTTAAACAATTAGTGCAGCGGCATTATGGGGGATCTGGGCGGACAAAAGCACCACAGCGGCAGGGGTTCTTCCCAACACAAACGCACAAAGAGCACCTCACTCTCGTTAAGCCTCAGAAAAACCCCTGAGACACACTACACCGGTCTCCTCCGCCAGCGCCGCGTTATCCGTCCCAACGCTATCATCTCCTCCATCTCTCATGCGCTTTGTTCTGTTCATCATCCCATTCTGCTGTTTTTATCTCTGTTCTGGGGTCTGTTCATACCCCTCTTTCTGTTCCTCCCCGCCTCCATGGCCTCAGATAGGACAGACTACTGCCAGCATCAGAGGTGTGTGTACATAAAGGGCTTTTCAGGAGGACTGACCCTGGTGATAGCTAAACTGGATTAGCAGGACACTATGTTGTCCATCTGCCGTGTTAAGTGTGAGCGTCTGAGGTGAAGCTGTGTGGCCTTGTCCACATTAGTAGCTGATTTGTAGTTTAATAACTGACTCACAATTATGTCATCACTGCAAGTTTTGGAAAAAACAACCCTGTTTTCCTTGTGTATGAGGAATACTGGATTGATCCTTCAACCCCAAACCCGTGATGATTGACGGGGTGATAACCGTAGCACTGACTTGGTGATTTGCAGCTGTGAAGAAAACATGTATACCAACATTTTAAACTGTTTGGTTTTCAGTAAACTGTTGTCAGCTGAGATGCCCTGTTTTATGCACGTGATTAGTTGTTTGGTTCTTTACACATTCTTTGGATTCAGTGAAAATTCTGTTGTCACTACCTGAATTTTTCAGTACTGAATTCAGCTTTAAAAAGAAATGGTCATTTCTGTAACCATATCTGGTTAGAACAGGATTAAGCCCTCAGAAGAGTGACCACTGCATGTGACCTGTGTGAAATTTCCCACTTTTAGAGTTCTAAGTTATGTATCCATCAGGCCAGCGTTTTGAAATTTAGGGAGTTTTGCATTTTTATTTTATTGTAGTTTATTCTTTTAAAACACGATATTGAGATATTAATTATATCACAGCTTATTTTCATATTGATTCTTTTTTCCTGTTCTTTTTTGCTGTACATTGTGTTGTTGCCTGATTTCGCCAAGAAGCATGTCAAATTTCCATGCACAGCTTTAATTGGAATGAAAAAAAAAAACAGGCAAAACAGAATAGATTAATTACATTGACGTATATTGGTTATCATGAGATAATTATTGGTCATTTTTGTATAGCATCAGTGAATCCCTATTTTACAGACTACAGCATCAAATAAACCTTAAATAGGGCTGGGTGATAAATATTGATATTTATAAAAAAAAGAATAAAGATAAAATAAATATATCTATAATAATCTTATTAATTGATCATCTTTTTCAAATGAATTGCTATATGGATTACATTTTAAAATATTCTGTTTTATTTTCATTTCGTTTGATAGCATTTATATGATAAATATGTATTAAATCAAAATACAAAAAAAGTTATCTGTAATAAGCTTTTTTTTTTTAAATTAATATTGATTACATTTTAGAAGATTTGTTAAATGGTCAAACATTTAGAAATAATACATTTCATTCGGTAGCATTTTTATGATCATTTTGTATTAAATCAAAATACAGAATCAAAAAAATAAAATAAAATGGGTTCTTAAATTAAAAGGTGGCTTACTCTGTGTTATTGTGTTTACATTCTCAAGGTCGAATGTGGAATTTCCTTTCCTTGTTAATGGTGTGCAATAAATATTCTGATAAATGTTAATGTCAAATGATATGAAAAAATAACTCTGGTAATATTTTTGGCCACATAGCCTATCCCTAAGCTTAATAATTCAGTGGCGACCTGACCTGAATTTATATATAATATATATAATATATTTCAAATTATTTCTGTCTGTTTAGGCTGATGTTCTTCCCGCTGTCCCACCGTCTCCTGTCATACCCCGACTGACCCTCAGAGTGGGCGCTGGACAAGACAAGATGTAAGTACTTCACACACACATACACACACGAAGGGTTGAGAGTATCAGGCAGCTCTCTGTGTGGTCAGAGTCTCTGAGTCTGTGTACAGGTGTGAGTTTCAGGCTTTGGGTCTTGTGACCAGTCCCAGACGTCCCATGAGGTCTTTGAGGGGGGCAAACACACACACACCCCACATCATGGCCCCCTCCTGCACACTCCTATCAATAGCGCCAGTGTTCACACCACTTAACCCCCTCACACACACACAGCGCCATACTACAGGTAAGGCGATTACTGATTCCTGAACGTCTACATGTGACTGATGTTGCTTTAATGGCCAGTGTGATTTAGACTCAGAAAGTACAGCATCTGCAGTGTTTTGACTGTGCTTTTGAATTTCTTCCTCACCTCTTCAATTCCACCTGCATGCAGGACAGGAAACATTAGTGTTTACGTCTGTGTGTGTGTGTGTGTGTGTGTGTGTGTGTGTTTGTACAGGAAGGCCTTTATTCTCAGCCTGGGAGTGTGTGTTGTGCCTCTGATGTTGCCTGTGTTGTGCTCTTTTCTTGCACCTGTAGTCTAGTTTGTTGAAAAACACAATCAGCAGTGCTTTCAAGAGGAAAATGTGTTTTTATGTCTGTCCTTGTGTTTTGTTTCGTTTACATAAGCAAAAAGCTTTAGATGTTGTTTGTTTAACTTTTATTTTAGCTTGAAAGACATTAGGGATGCACAGTATATCAATGATGAAAGTAAAAGATAAAAGAGTATTTATATCAGCTATAACCAAAAATAGTGATCTATACAGTGTACATTTTTGCGAGATCTCAACAGAAGCTCCTTTGATGCACTGGAAACATTGGCACAGGTGACCTTTGATCTCTGAAAGGTTGTGAGGTCACATCCTGGACAGGGCATACCCCACACCATCTTTACCCCGAGAGGGAGCCCTGTGCATGGTTGTGGTGTGTGTGTGTGTGTGTGTCAGTCAGATGAAGCATAAATAATGAGTGTCTGTGTGTGTAATCGGAGCTGACCGTTTGACACGCCCTTCTCAGGGTCAATACCACAGCAAGCGCCGCTGTCCACTCTCTCCGAGCCTGTCAATCAACCTGTTACTCGGCAACAGCAGGGTTTAATCAGTTTGTCTGGCAGCATTTAAAAGACAAACAGCTCTTCTCTATTGCCAGATTATAATTATTAAGGATCCTCAATATATTGGTGAAAATATCAGCTGACATTGAAAGCAGATAAAATAAGAACGGTTCACCGTTTACAGTATTCAGACAAAAGCACTCAAACAGGCAAAAGTATAGCATAAAAAATAGATCAAATGTATGCTGTTTACTCGTATTCTTTTAGAGATTTGGTGTGAACTTTTTTAAACAATACATTGAAATACTTACACATTTATAATGTTTTGATGTAGGTTTTATTTTTTACTTATTTCATTATTTTATTTATTCAAAATAAATCATCACAAATATTAATTATTTGTATTGTTTATTTTATTTAATTGGTTGATTGATTTATTCACAATGAAACAGAAACCGAAAAGCTCATTTATAATACTGGCCATTATAATGGTTTTTAGCCAAAAATTATATTGCATGATATAAGCCTTTTTTTTTTTTTACAAAAACAATAACAAAGATAATTACATTACCAGTGTTTGTATAAATGCACATACAACAAATATACAAAAATGTGAAGGAAAAACAACAACAACAGTAACACTTTTTAAGAACCAATTATCGCTATTAACTAGCAGGCATGTTACTACTAAATTGGCTGCTTATAAAGCACATATTAATGCCTTATTCTGTATGATCATATTTTAGATCCCTTAATTCTATTTCATATCTAAACTTAAGAACTACCTTACTATTAATAAGCAGCATATTAAGTTAAGTTTATTGAGGCAAAAGTCGTAGTTAATAGTGAGAATTAGACCTTACAATAACGTTTGACCTTAATTACATGTAAAACAAACAGTAATACAATAAACTATTCATTCAATGACATAAATAAAATTTTTATGGTGCATAACCGTCCTTTCTTTCCTCTTTTTCTTTGTTTCTTCACCAGTGTGATCAGTAAGGTGGTCCCAGATTCAGAGCCCACCCCTCCACCACCACGGATCCCAGTGGCCAGGGCCAGTCCAGCAGCACGGATGCGTTCCCCTCCTGCTCCCCCTCCACCTGGCCCGGCTTCAGCCGCCACCCAGCCAGGCCAAAGCACGGGGATGCAGCGTTGTCACGGAGACCGTCAGTGCATACGTGGTGAGTCTCACATATACACACACAAATGAACAACTGCATTGTGTTAATTATATTATTACAAATAAAATATATATTATGTTCATATTATACATTACAATCTCATATATTTAATATTTACATTAATTTATTATTAATATCACAATATAGTTATGGTTTACAGTTGCAGTCAAGCAAATATGCAGTATATTATGTCAATATACAGTTCTACACATGTGTATCAACTTCATTATTTTAAGTCACTTTGACATACAAACATATTTTAAATTTTATGCACTAAACTATCAATTGTTGTCAGATTTTTTAGACATTTGTAGACATTTTTACACGTTATTTGACTGAATTAGATTTATCCAAACATGCATTTAATAATTGAGGCATAAGTGACATTGAAAATATAATGCATATATAAGACGTATTGCATATATTTAATTATATATTTAAATTTGCGTGATGTGCAGACATTTTTTTCTAGCTACAATTCCTTAAGTGCTCTTAAGTCAAAAATAAAATTTTAAAGCTGAGGTTTCATTAAAAACAAGAAACAGTTTTGAAAACAGGAAGTCGTTTTAATGGTTTGAATGGCGCAGTGGGACCTCAGACTCTAAATCATGAGGTCTTTGAGGGGGGCAAACACACACACTCCCCACATCATGGCCCCCTCCTGCACACTCCTATCAATAGCGCCAGTGTTCACACCACTTAACCCCCTCACACACACACAGCGCCATACTACAGGTAAGGCGATTACTGATTCCTGAACGTCTACATGTGACTGATGTTGCTTTAATGGCCAGTGTGATTTAGACTCAGAAAGTATAGCGTCTGCGCAGTGTTTTGACTGCTTTTGAATTTCTTCCTCACCTATTCAGTTGCACCTGCATGCAGGACAGGAAACATTAGTGTTTACGTCTATGTGTGTGTGTGTTTGTACAGGAAGGCCTTTATTCTCAGCCTGGGAGTGTGTGTTGTGCCTCTGATGTTGCCTGTGTTGTGCTCTTTTCTTGCACCTGTAGTCTAGTTTGTTGAAAAACACAATCAGCAGTGCTTTCAAGAGGAAAATGTGTTTTTATGTCTGTCCTTGTGTTTTGTTTCGTTTACATAAGCAAAAAGCTTTAGATGTTGTTTGTTTAACTTTTATTTTAGCTTGAAAGACATTAGGGATGCACAGTATATCAATGATGAAAGTAAAAGATAAAAGAGTATTTATATCAGCTATAACCAAAAATAGTGATCTATACAGTGTACATTTTTGCGAGATCTCAACAGAAGCTCCTTTGATGCACTGGAAACATTGGCACAGGTGACCTTTGATCTCTGAAAGGTTGTGAGGTCACATCCTGGACAGGGCATACCCCACACCATCTTTACCCCGAGAGGGAGCCCTGTGCATGGTTGTGGTGTGTGTGTGTGTGTGTGTCAGTCAGATGAAGCATAAATAATGAGTGTCTGTGTGTGTAATCGGAGCTGACCGTTTGACACGCCCTTCTCAGGGTCAATACCACAGCAAGCACCGCTGTCCACTCTCCGAGCCTGTCAATCAACCTGTTACTCGGCAACAGCAGGGTTTAATCAGTTTGTCTGGCAGCATTTAAAAGACAACTCTATTGCCACTATTGCCAGATTATAATTATTAAGGATCCTCAATATATTGGTGAAAATATCAGCTGACAGATAAAATAAATAAAATAAGAACGGTTCACCGTTTACAGTATTCAGACAAAAGCACTCAAACAGGCAAAAGTATAGCATAAAAAATAGATCAAATGTATGCTGTTTACTCGTATTCTTTTAGAGATTTGGTGTGAACTTTTTTAAACAATACATTGAAATACTTACACATTTATAATGTTTTGATGTAGGTTTTATTTTTTACTTATTTCATTATTTTATTTATTCAAAATAAATCATCACAAATATTAATTATTTGTATTGTTTATTTTATTTAATTGGTTGATTGATTTATTCACAATGAAACAGAAACCGAAAAGCTCATTTATAATACTGGCCATTATAATGGTTTTTAGCCAAAAATTATATTGCATGATATAAGCCTTTTTTTTTTTTTACAAAAACAATAACAAAGATAATTACATTACCAGTGTTTGTATAAATGCACATACAACAAATATACAAAAATGTGAAGGAAAAACAACAACAACAGTAACACTTTTTAAGAACCAATTATCGCTATTAACTAGCAGGCATGTTACTACTAAATTGGCTGCTTATAAAGCACATATTAATGCCTTATTCTGTATGATCATATTTTAGATCCCTTAATTCTATTTCATATCTAAACTTAAGAACTACCTTACTATTAATAAGCAGCATATTAAGTTAAGTTTATTGAGGCAAAAGTCGTAGTTAATAGTGAGAATTAGACCTTACAATAACGTTTGACCTTAATTACATGTAAAACAAACAGTAATACAATAAACTATTCATTCAATGACATAAATAAAATTTTTATGGTGCATAACCGTCCTTTCTTTCCTCTTTTTCTTTGTTTCTTCACCAGTGTGATCAGTAAGGTGGTCCCAGATTCAGAGCCCACCCCTCCACCACCACGGATCCCAGTGGCCAGGGCCAGTCCAGCAGCACGGATGCGTTCCCCTCCTGCTCCCCCCTTCATTATTTTAAGTCACTTTGACATACAAGCATATTTTAAATTTTATGCACTAAACTATCAATTGTTGTCAGATTTTTTAGACATTTGTAGACATTTTTACACGTTATTTGACTGAATTAGATTTATCCAAACATGCATTTAATAATTGAGGCATAAGTGACATTGAAAATATAATGCATATATAAGACGTATTGCATATATTTAATTATATATTTAAATTTGCGTGATGTGCAGACATTTTTTTCTAGCTACAATTCCTTAAGTGCTCTTAAGTCAAAAATAAAATTTTAAAGCTGAGGTTTCATTAAAAACAAGAAACAGTTTTGAAAACAGGAAGTCGTTTTAATGGTTTGAATGGCGCAGTGGGACCTCAGACTCTAAATGATATAGGATGTGACGTATTTGATACTATAGCACTTGCTTTTACTTCTCTTTTCAAGCAGTGTCACAAGTGTTAAGTTTGTTTGATTGATTCTTGTGTTTGTTCATCACAGATTCGGGATGAATGGGGGAATCAGATCTGGATTTGTCCAGGATGTAATAAACCTGATGACGGCAGTCCCATGATCGGATGCGACGAGTGTGACGACTGGTATCACTGGTAAAAAACTTTTTCAGCTTCTCTTACATTACACAATCACGATTTTTATCCCTCTCTCCAGCAAAGAGTTTTTGTTTTTGTTTATTTGGTTGGTTGTTTTTTTCCCTGTAATGTGACGACATCTGAGGAATCAGGAAAAAAATGTAGGCGGGATTAAATGTTATCTATAAGGAAGTTGTCTCAGGTTTGATTTCATCTTGACTTCAGGTGAAGTCATACAGTTATGTCTTTATTCATCTTAGATGGTGCATAAGACCTTTAGGAGTAATATCAGACCAAACTTCCTTTTTTTGACATACAAGCACAAAATGCAGTGTGATTACATGATTATATTTAAAGTTACAAGACTTCTATATTTTACACTAAATATCTTTCATGTCATTTTAAGAGCCACACACACCTCAAAACAAAGTGAATAAGAGGAAGTGCCAATCAAAAAACCCCAAACTGAGCCTAGATTGCCTGGCAGTACTGTAAAGCTTTTTGGGAATCATCTTTTTCATGCGCTCCGCGTAAAGATCAAAAATACACAAACACACACAGAACAAATTGTGTCTCTTTCAAGATAAAAGGAGATATTTTGATGGTGAGAACGATCAAGTATTTATATTTATTTATATATATATATATATATATATATATATATAAATATAAAAGACATGCCTTTTCCATTTTGAATTTATGTAGAATTAAATAAAAAATACAAACTTGGCACATAAGTTGTGTTGTTCATCATACCGATCGATATCATTCAGGTTTATCTTGTAACTGAGACTCATCTATCCCTCTTTCTGTCTCTTTCAGGCCCTGTGTGGGTCTTGTAGCCGCCCCTCCGGAGGACCAGTCGTGGTACTGTGTGAAATGCGCTGGCAAGAAGAAAGACAAGAAGACAAAAAAAAGGAAACGCAAAGTGCACTGACCCACATTTCTTTTTCTCTCGTCTCTGTCTTCATCTGTTTTCGCCTTAATTCATTTCCAACTCTGTTTTGCCTCATTTGTTTGTTTTTTTGTTTTTTTTCCCCCACCCAGCCCTTCTTTTAACTTGGTTAACTTAACTCAGTGTCCAGTATCATAATGTATTTTTTAATATGAAAATTTCAAATGTGTATATGTTACTTTTTTATGTGGAGAATCGTATAGTGTGTCTATATGATCTTTGTATCGAGCTTATGATTGTTCAGTAGATGCGTTGAAATGAACCTCTCAGTTTGCCCTCATTAAAGGTTGTTCCATGTATGTGCTGATTCATCAAATCTACATCACCCATGAGAAAAAGCATTCTGTACTATAATATGCCTTTTAATATCGTTCTTCTGATTGATTTTGACTGGAGGTGCAGTTTCATTTTACTATGGATTTAATTAAAAGTTGCTTTTTCACATCTTATTGTTTTGTTGTCTTGTCATTTGTTTGGGTACAGATAGACTACTCACTCAGATTCTAAAAAAAAAAAAGCTAAATCAATGATTGTGAATGCACGAGTTTCATAAGGCAACATTATAAATATATGTTTTATTATTTGAGTTGTGATATTTCTGTACACTTTATTCAGCTGGTTTGTTTTGACTTTTGGATTGAATAAGGCATTTTTCTCAAATGATCTCTGGGAACTGAAGTGCAAATGTTTTTTTATATTGCCATAAAGGTTACAGTGAGTTAAATATGGTAAATGAAGTGTCAATTATGCATTGAATTGTTTATCCAAAACACAATTAAGAAAAAAAAAACGGATATCCAGCAATGGCATTGTTTATTCAAATATGATGATACTTTGTGCATACAAAACCCTCTATCCTCACAGGGTCAAGTGGCCCAGAAAAGTATTTGGACACTTCAGTCACAGATAAAAGTTTAACAAGCAAGAAGTAGCCCATTTATTTCAAGGAAAGACCAAACAGAACAGAACATTTTCACATAAGGATGTTTTTAATGACAAAGAATTGCGACACTTTCTCACTGTCAAACTTTAGAGGAATATGTTCATTGTTAATGTGAAAAACTAGAATTGAGGTTACTCTGTTACACTCCAACTTGAGTGTAACTGACTTATAAATTACCAATCTTTTGAAGCATAATTTGTTTGCCACTTATATTGATAATTTAAAGTATACAGTTACATTAGTGTAGTTCCCACAAACCTATTGCTGGCATATAAAGAAACTGCATAAATCGCAAGAACAGTATGGTAGTACGTTATTTCGAATTGAGGCGTTTTTTTTGAGTGAATCACTGAGTCATTCACTCATCCGATTCTTTCAAAAGCAATGATTCACTCATGAACTAGCGAATGTTGTTCGGATCCCAGGCGCTGATTCTGCTTTGGCTTTGTTTGGAGCTGTTTTCGTTGGCGGAGCGAAACCGACAAAATAACCGGCAAATTTTGTTTCTAAAATGTAAGTTACTCAGTATTAACTTCTTGTTTATTCAACTGTTATTTGTTGGTTAAAAGCACACTCTCAACTGCGATGTTTTTACGAATATCAACACGACCACGATAAGCCTACCTGTTTCACGTTGAAAACAGTGTCCAAATACTAACTTTAGATCGATATACCGTTTCGTTATTTTAAACATACAAATGTCTTTTGTGGTGTTTGTTTGTGTTATTTCTTTTAAAATAAATGCCACTTGGTTTAGCCTTATGCAAACATTAAGACATTTTTGAAGTGTCCAAATAAATTTTAGGGCAATACGATATTTGGAGCAATGAAGGGCAAATGTTATAATTGTATTAATATAGGTCTACTACTAAAGTGCATTTACATCTACACATATGAAAGGTAGCCTACAACAGGGTAAAAATACTCTTCTTATCAGTCTGTTCCTTTGTAGTTCTGCCAATATGACTAGTATTTAGCTCCCACACCGCAGCTTTGAAGTAAGTATTCCACCTGATGCGGACTCTCCGCCACTGAACTCATTTAAAATCTCCTCAAATATCCCCTCACTACCTGTCATTTCTGCTAATCGCACAGATACGGCCGGCTAAATGAGCCTTTACCGTGGCTAGATCATTTCTTTATGTTAGCGCTTATCACAGAAAACTGAGGCCTTTATTGTTGCATTGTTATTCGTTTCAGAGCAGAAATGACGGTTCTGATGCAGCAGGGAGCAGTTGGCAGTGGACTGGATGGTGATAAGAAATGCTTTCCACATGTAGACTGGTATCCAGAGCTGCCTGTTAAACGAGAGTGTATCTACCAACAATAGCTGTGAGCTTTGAGCACCGGCTATAACAAAAACACTGATTTGAAACGTTCACATGCTTTAAAGATGAGCAGAAAGGTCATGACCATAAGCGTAAAAGTAGTGGACAAAAATATGGATTTGTCAAGCTATATCAGACTTGATGCTATAACAAAAATCAATGATAACCAACGTTAATCTTACAGTGGCTCAAAAAACGTATTTACACATTAAAGGCGCATTCACGCCAAGAACGATGAGTATAACTAGGCTAATAATTAACTATATAGCGTCCACCCAGACGATAACATTTCACTTTTTAACGCTGAAAGATATTTCCCTGTCCTTATCGTTTTTGTTGTGAACTTCGCTGTTCTTTTAGAGCTGATTTTAAAACTTTTAAAGTTATGGTTATCTTATCTGGTATATCGTTATTCTTGGTGTGAACAGGCCTTACGCTGCCCTTAAAAGTATGAATGCCATTGAATTAGGAAACAAAATATCAATCCAGGTAGCTTTTGCAAACATCCAACCCTTAGAGCTCCACTTTTATAAGCCATTTTATCATTGACTTTTAAGCAACAGTGTGATTTTGAATGAAGGTATTGTCAGTTGCCCTCAATCTCATGAAGCTGCATGAAAGGTGTGTGATTTAAATACGATTTTAACATGTAGATTATGATATGTTTGTATATCAGGTGGTTTAAGATGGTCAAGGAAAACAGTTCATCAAGCACTTTAATTACATTGACATTATTTACATGCATGTCTGAATGCTCTGAGTGATGTTAGTTTTTGCAGATTAGAAGATAAAGGTCACTCACAGCTTCCCCAAAGGTCAGAGGTCACATGGAGATGGACATACAGAAGTTTCCTCTAAAGGTGAGAAGAAAACAAAAAAACAAAGCACTTCATGGCAGACTGATTAACTCATATACATAGATCTATTGAAAAGCTCGAAATTAACAAGTTTTGTTATGAATTTGAAAAGGGATTGCACTTTCTTGTCCATGCTTTATTAATATATTTTTGTTCTGTTATATCTGAAGCTTGCTGAAAAAACACAGGCAAAAAAGTCCATGCTGTATTTTAAGCAGTATATTGGACTTTTTCCTCAGTAAATATTTGAACAGCCCTCCCTTAAATTATTCATTTACATGAAACACTAAATTGACATAAGATATTAAGACTTGTTTTATATCATTGTATTTTAAATATCTTGTTTTATAAAGAAAGTTGATAAGTGCATGTTCTGGCTTGTTGTCTTTTATTTGTTTTTATTTTAAATTGTTTTAGGCATAAATCAGTAATGCTGCACAATTTCTTACTTTTCCATTTTCTTGCAATTGGGTTTCACAGAAGTATTTTTATATCACACTTTTTGGCCTTCAGTTGGTCTTGTGGATGGACTAATGTTTTTGTTTTCATCTGTCTTCTGAAAAACGGTATGCTTTTATGTATGAGTGTTACAGTCTATTTAAGCAGCTGCCTTATTAACTTTGAATGAACTGACACTGGCAGTGTCAGTGAGATCAAATCTATAAAATACATCTTCATTAATAAATCAAGCGAACTAAACGAATTGTTTCTCTAGAATTTCATTATGGAGCCATAACGTATCTTGCCCTTTTATTTGACAAATTTAGACGCTACACTGAAACCTACATAAAGTGTTCATTTGCAAGTAAAATTTATATAAGCAAATTAACGCAGTCCCAAGTTTTCAGGTGTTAAAATAACACATGCAAACACATATTCTACACAAAAATAGCCACTACTACCCCCAACA